GCCACCGCCCCGTTCCTTCAATCAAGAAACCAACTCCAAAGGATTTACAAGGCTGGCACTCCCTCTTCTTCCTATAAATAGGACACTCCAAACACAAAAACATCATCGAATTCTGGAAGGATTGAAGTCCTAAAAGAAGAGATCACCTAGTATTAGTTAGTAGTTTAATTTTGTATAGTTGTAACTGTAGTTAAGTGACAACTCTTTTCCCTTACTCTGTATTATCCATTAAGACTCCCCACGAGCACCAACCCTCTTCTCCACTTTATATTTTGTTGTAATCTTTCTTACTTAATTTCAATATAAGTGTTTATTCTTTTCTTCCCAATCATTATCTCTGAACTGAATCCCGGGTCTATGAGATTTCAGTTTAGAATAATTATTTTTAAAATATCAGCCATAGGCTGAATTATTTGTGGGACGGATAAGCTGCAAAACTCTTAAAGAATTATTTCCAAAACTCTTGACTGAAGCTTTTTGTATTTCTTTGGCTAAGTAAGCTATATTCATTGTGTATCACTGGAAATTGAACATATACTGAGAAATCAACTTCCTTAAGAAAGGGATTTCAGACAGCTTAGTCATTGGGGGAAGGTAGTGTTATGGCAAAAACACTATTGGTCACCTTAGGAATAAGAGGCCACTTCGTCCATTTTAAGGTTCTGTACTAAGTACCTGTTGGAGTCAAGGGAGCCATAAGAATATGGAAACTTGTGAGCCATCTAGCCCATGAGTTGAGGAATCAGAGTTGGCAGATAAGAAGCTGGGACAAAGCTAAAAAGTGTTAAGTCTTGAGCAGAGAAAATAACTATTTAAGAATGGAGCAGTGAATTCGTTTCTTCTGTTAAACTGTTTTTAAAACCATCCACCTTGTTGTCTCTTGATTATAGTTATTACTGTTTTATTTTTACTTTGTTTAATCTTGTATCTATCAAACTCCAATGATTATTATCACACCTTCTTTCAAACAGGAAGGATCACATATATAACGCGGCGAGCAATTGTTTGCCATCAGACTGAACTTACTGTTCCTGAGAAACGTTGTCAAGACAGTAGGGAACGTTTGACCAGACAGTTCAATCACTAACTTTTCTTTTCATTTTCATTCTTTATAAAATAGTTTAAGACAATATTTAGAGTTATATCCTCGTGAGAACGATAATCTGAGCCTTAATACACTCATTATTACTTGATGCGTGCACTTGCGCACTTGCGCACTTGGGTTGGAAGTAAGGGAACAACTCTGTTTTCTGTTGCTAATTTAGAACAGAAGAACGTCCCCCATCAGAATATATATTTTTCCACCATCAGAAAACCACCCAACAACACTCTACTACAAATTTTAAGAAACCTAATTTTATTAGTTTGTGCGAGTTCGACAGCTCGTGTCAGTAACTACGCTTAATATTATACGTAATGATAACAAACCGGCAACTGACAGGGTTTTACACGCGGACCAGCCCTAACCCAACCCACTAAATTATAGGACTTTGAGGAATAGGACCAAAATAGACCCTAATGGGTTATGACCAAATATAAGACTTTACGAGTTAGCCCGCGGGCTTTAACCCGTTTTGACTCCTGTGTGTATGTAATTGAATTTGTCCTTATCCTACAATTAAGAATTTCTACCTTTTGAAGATATGCCGACAAACAATAGGCTCGTTCATGTTCTACGCATTGTTATTTTATTTTATTTTTAATTTTTGGAAAATGTCTACGCATTGATATTAAAATTGGTTCGAACATGTCAGTGTGATATATTGAAGCGGGAATCGGATCATTAATCAGTTTATGCATGTAATTTGATTAAGAATAGGTGAATTGACCATAAATCAGGTTCAACCGGTACTAATCCGGTATGGTTTCAGGTTGAATCGATTTTTGAAAATTGTAAGAAAATATTTTATCACAATTTCACTATTAGGTTTCAAACTTGGCACATGAGGGAATATGATGCACTAGGCACATTCAGATAGATAATTTAAGGGAAAAACTACTCTTATATTACATGTGATAAATTTCTCTTCTACACACCTTTCGATAACTGTGCTACCTTTTTTTTCTTTTCTTTTTATTTTTCAGGTGGTGGAGCCCACAAGTTTATCTCTATAACATGAGATAACTTATCTCGTTTAACATGAGATTAATAAAATTCATAATTTAATCCTATCAAATTTAGAGTGAAATGCTAACCATTAAGTCACATCATTTTACTTTGTTATCCAGATGAGCTTCTTTGTAAGAGTCAAATCCTCAAATAGAATTAATTTCCATCAAACCATAATGATTAAAACCCAAACAACAAAACTTCATCGCATAAATATAAACCAATACCCAAATTACAATAGTGGGTATTAAAATTCCCCCATTCTTAAAATGAATTATAGCTGAAAAGTGAACTAAAGAAAAGACATATTATGAATTCCATTGCCGATTCAAAATCACAACAAAAGAACATAAAATTTCAACATAAAAGAAATTCTGAGGAGATGAGTGTGATGATGATTGCAAGTAGCAGCTCGAGAATCGGCAAAAAACTGGTGATGGGTGTTGCAATTGTATGAGCTAAAGAAGAATAAGACGAAGGAGACGAAAAGAGTAAAATCTTTTCCCTAAAGAGGAAAGAGAAGAAGGTGCTCTCTAATTGGAAAATTCCCTTCTTTATATTGTCGAGCTCACACTCTCATTCCCCTTATCATCAATTGTCTTTGCCTTCTTTGTCCCTTTTTATTTCTCATCCAAGGTTGTTTTTCGTCCAGTTGTTAGATTTTTCTCTCTTTCTTCCAACTGCCTTTCCATGTTGGAGAAGACTCTCTACTTCCTTTTTATTCTTCATCATTATTTAGATTTGCTTGGGTGGAGTTGTGGGTTGTTTGGGTTTCTTCTTTTTACAATTTTCTGCATAATAGGACAAGTGAAAGTGAGTGAGCCATTGGGGCAATATGAAATACAAGCCTCTTCTTTATTTTTCAACCTTTAGTAAGAGCCTTACATACAATTGAAATATCTTTATCTTTTTTTTTTAATTAGCCCGATATCTTAGCAATTTATTTCTTTTATATCAATAACAACTCAAAAAGTCAAGGAACAAGTAACTCCTTTAACCATGAACGCCGATAATGGTACTGGTGCTTAGAGGTGACAAAATGGACTCGGCCCTATCCGTTAAACAGGATGGAGCGAGCTGAGTTTGTCAACTCACCAGCCCGCCAAGCTCGCCCTGCCATAGGGCAAGCCGCCGACCCCTTTTTTTCCATGTAATGAAGCATACCAGCAAGGTCTACAAAAAAAAATTGGTCATGAAAGGAATTCAACTGATATAGAGCTTTTAACACTTGTCCTTCCGTAAATAATGCAGGGCAATTATGGATAAGTTGTGATCACATAGCTCCATCTGAATGTACAAATGTTCATTTTCAAACCATAAAGAATAGTACCCGACAATGTTCTCATGGGAACCTAGAGGCAAGATGGTAAATGAAATCTAGGAAAATAAGATTAATATAAAAGCCGTTATGCAGCATAAAAGAAAAGTTGAAAATGTAAAATGCACACCTAAGGCTGCCAAAGCCTAAACTTCCAGCAAAGCTTTTCTCCTGCAATATTGATGTAATTGTTAGTATGATTAATTTTAACTATTTTTTTTCTTAGAACCTAACGTATGAATAAGATGTAATTTAAAAAAAAAGAAAAATATGTAGTAAAACCAAAAATTATTATCCTAATAATTTCTTATTTTCTTATTGATAAAAAATTGACCATTAATGTTAAGAAATGATGGTGTTACAGTATCAAATTAATAGTAAATGAGAAAGTGCACTAGTGTAATAAAATTTAAAAAAAAAATATGAAAGAAAGTACAACAGCACCACAAATTCAAGAAAACGATAAAATTATAATCAAATAATAAAAAGGGAGTAAAAAAGTAAGAAAGAAAACTTTCAAAAAAAATTAGGTGGACTGGTGGGGTGGGCTGACTTTTTCAGTCCATTATCAAAAGCGGGGCAAAAGGCTTGTTTGCAGGTGCGTTGATGACGGGACAGGGCGGGCGACCACTTTGCTACCTCTAAAATTGGTGCTGCCAAATATAGACCCATCAAATTGAAATAGCTTTAAATTTGTAAAGGAGACGTTTGGTCACATCCGGGTTAGTGCATACCGCTAGTGTCAATTCATTTTCTCGTGAACATTTCGCACCTTGATTCTTTATCCTTTTTTAAATGAGTGAAAATAACATTGCTTAATCTTGTGTGATATTTTCATTTTGCTTGATTTGCCTAGAACTTAAATAAACTTAATTGACTTAATTAAAAAATTTCGGTATGATAGATCCTAGCCAAGTGAGTTTTGACTAAATGTCTACATGTTTGATGATGGAACAAACTCATTGGAAAAATTGGTTATAGACTTATAGTTAATTTCTTTCCACGTGAGAACAGCGTGAGGGAAATTCCCTGATGATAGTAGATATTTAGTCATATTGTGGGCCTAGAATATCGGTCCAAAACAATACTCAGACATTTCAATTACTTTGTCCTCTTACACATTGGTTAAAGGAGTTTACTTTAGTTCACCTGACCCTGTTCTTGAGATTGTAATGCCAAGAAGCAAAAATGGTCCAAAGCACAATTTGTTAGTGTTAATGGTAATTTTTCATTTGAGTTATGCTCTTCACCTGAATTCCCCATTCATCGTTTTATGCATTGTGTGTATATATTATGTTCTAGGAATGGATGCCAGAATGAGCGAGCGGTGAACAGAACATAAGGCCTTACTCGACAAACTAAAAGACCATATATATTAATAATTATAGGTCATATTTATAATTTTTTTTTTATAAATTACACTATTTTTTTCTAGAAAAACACTAAATTTTATTATGTTCTCTCAAAAGAAAATAATATAATTTGTAAAAATTTGTCAATAAAGTATCTTTTCCCATATTAATATTTGGGACACCGTTGTTATCTAGAAAATTTCCTACACGAAGTTGGGTGAAACTTTGATAATATACAATAGATATTTGCATTGATTCCATATAGACATTAGCATTACTGCTATATACAGATTGAACAGGCAACAATATTTTCCAAGGTAACAAACTTGTCCAGCATCACCAAACCTAACACAACGCTATTATTGGCTCTTCTTTCACACACACCACTGGATTCTCATGACACACCATCATGATGAACTTGAACTTCTGGAAGCTTGAATCCACTCTCTCTTCTCCTTTTCCTACCACAACTATTTGGTTTTGGATCAGACTCTCCAGCCTCCAAAGGGAAGTTCAAAATGGCTTTCTGACCCCTCATCTTGAAAGCAGCACAATCATAAGCCTTTGCAGCATCAATTTCACAATCAAATGTACCTAACCAAACCCTTGTTCCTTTCCTTGTTGGGTCACGAATCTCTGCAGCAAACTTGCCCCATGGCCTTCTCCTCACACCTCTATAATGCCTTGCTTCATTATATTCTGATTTCTTCCTCTTCTTCTCTGATACCATTTGTTCATTGTAATTGCTCTTCTGGGTTTCCTTTGAAGGGCTGGCTCCTATGGACTTGAGACCCTTTGGAGAATTGTGTTCCACAAACTCCATATCTGCTACCAAATCATAGCCTTCAAGGAAAGTGCAAAAGCTGCTACTATCTGAAATATATGAACTGAAATCAAATTCTGGTGAAGGGTGTTCAAGTTTTACAGGATGGAGATTGGTGAAGAAGGAATCTGAGATTTCCCCTAAGAGATGTTGGCTTATCAGATCCATGTTTGAAGTTTCTTCTGCTGTTGTCATATTTAAGAACTTAGGGAACAAGAAGTTGAATTTTATATTGAAAATTAGTTAGTAGGCAAAGGTAGATATTTATATGCCTGTCTGTCCCTGGAAAATGGTCCCCACTGCATAGTAGAGTATTTGGTTCAATCTTTTATTATTTTAAAGGATATAAATTGTGTCTTTTTTAATTTTTAACACTACGTATTACGAATAGTATATAATTATAATATGAAAAGTTATTATTTTTTCTCTTTTCAGTCACTTCAGCTGATGTGGAGAGAAGAAAAAATAACTTTTCATATTATAATTATATAATATCTATAATATATAGTATAAAAAATTAAAACAACACATCTTATATTCTTTAAAATAACACAGACTTGACCCTTATTTTATCGTGATAGTTTGTTAATAGATAATATGTAAAAGCAAGCTTGTAGCATATGTAAGAAACCTTGAAATTGCATCCTTCCTCATAGTTATCTTCAAATGATACTACAAAGTCAATAACACTTTTAATAAATAGAGTTAGATATTTATTGAATTTTTTATAATTGAGCTGTCAATAGGTTTTTTTATCTTATATAATAATTATTCTAATATTTAGAGAGTTTAGAAGCATATCTAATAATCATTGTGGAATTAAAAGAATGATGATCAATTCCTATCGTTTATGAAGTGATCGGTATAATTTCGGAGTAATCCCCTAATTTAGGAGAATTTTTTTATGTGATTGTGTATAAAGTGAGTGGAATAAGATCAAGAGATTAAACTAAATTAGGACTCGAACTAGAAATTTCTAATTAACCAGAACAAACTCATTGACCTTTGAATCAATAATTATTAGTAATATTTTTACTTCTTTTATCTTAGTAGCTAAATTTTATAAAAAAATATTTTTAACCTTGTAGCATAAGAGAAAACAAAGAATTATTTTCCCATGTATCACAAAAAAAAAGAGAAAACAAAGAAAGGGGTCCCACATAATGTTGTGAGATACATCAGATTTGATGGTATAGTTATCCAGCAGATAGGAATAGGCCTGCTTTACAAGGGTAATTTTATTATTGAGTTGTTTGTGGACCTTGCACCTTCTTATCCAAATTGCAGTGTCGCATTCAAGGATGTGCCCACATGGAAGAAACACAATCCTTAATTACACTCCCAAGTTGGTCCTTGGCATATACTTATGAGAGCATTTGTTTTTCACTAGATCGAGGGCAATGAACATAGTCACGTAAGCAATCATGGGCAAGAAAATTTTGCAACTTGTGTTGTAAAGGTTGGGCCACAAAAAGTTGTTTCTGGTACTTGTCTTCTATCTAGCTTCTATACAATGCAAGCTAGAATAGTTTTTTGGTGGTTTATGGGGACCCTTCCTTGTCCTCAACTTGCATCAAAACTTTAACGCCTCAACTTGCATGAAAAGTCTAAACATTCAACGTCGTGAACTTTGATGCCTTAAACATGTCACATGAAAGCACCCTCATTAATGGATAATGATACGTGGTGAAGTTGTTTAGATTTCCAAACCCAACAACGAAGAGAAGAGAAGGGAAGTTGTTGAAAAATGTAGTTAGTTTTGTGCAAGCGCGTGACTGGTATTGATTGGTATAACTATTCTAGAAGTTCTAAAATATCAATCGATTCAGAGGGGAAAAAACAATATTTGTTATTTTAAAAAACAATAAAAATATATTATTTTTTTATCAACCTAGTTAATTGTTTTTTGATACTTCACTATATTCAATAAAATAAAATTAATGGAATAAAATAATAATTCAATTAAATATACTTAGCGTTTTTAATTGTAATACAAAAACTTGCAAGAACTAAATTTTGAATCTGAGTAGTAATGGATATATTAGTCCACATTATTGTTCTACACCCAATAATTTATTATTTAATTCAGTCGAAAAAATAAATAAATAGAGGAGAAATATTCATTGTGTTTACGTTAGGTATTTTTAATGTGATTTAAGTACACAGAAGAAGAAAAATATAAGAAAAGAAATATAAATAATTAAATATATAAATAACATTAGCAAGGAATAAATAACTGCGCTCGGTTCAAGAGTTATTTAGAGCAATGTAATAAGGGGTTGATTATTCTTATATCTACGTAAGAATAAAAAGTCTTATATTAAATATTGACGATTGATTTGTATTCTGTTATGTTTGAAAGACAAAGATGTTCAACCGGTGGCTGATATATTTTATGTAGGATCTAGGTGCCCTCTCTCAAGTATCTATGAATGAGATACCCTTGAGGGTAGGCCGATCACTGAGCACAATAATAATCGACATAGTCAAGGCGTGGGGTGTGTGCACAGTGACAAGCTAAGAGAGGGTTTTGAGAGTGCGTACCTTATTAGTTTAACCCCTTAATTATAGATGGGTTACCTGAAGAAGTGTACTTCTGGGCCTCTTAGAAATATTTGGGGCCCAAGTCCAACTGCTTAGCTGTCTGGATAGGATCGTCATCAATAGGAGATTCCCTTCTTTTTGTGCTGACCTTTATTGGTCCTTCTAGAATATGGGCCTTTGTCAGGTCCATAACAGTTGCCCCTCAGCCAGGTAGTTTGGTTGTCCAGGCTGCCGGGATGAATTATCTTGCCTTTTGCTTCAGGTTTTCTTCTGAGATGAGAGTGTTTTGAGTTTTTGTAAACATTTTGCATACATGTTCCTTACATCCAGCTTCTAAACCGGGGTCCTCTTTGCCCCTTATCTCGGCGGGTTGATCATAAACCATGAAAAATATTTCACGTGTTTCTATACTGAGTTTGGGATGAGCTTGAGTTGTTGGGATCCAACTGGCGAGTTGCTCCCAAGTATCATTCCATACGCACACGTCCTGAGCTTGTAGCTTTCCTCTGGAACCGGGAATGATTTTCCCTTGTCACCTATGTGGGCGGGTTATGCATGAAGCCGACAAGATACTGCACACGTGTAACCGGGGAACAGACGACCTTGAGTTGTTGGGATCCAACTGGCGAGTTGCCCCCAAGCCTCATCCATGTAACCCTGCTAAAAGTTGTCCCCCAGCCCAGGAGTTTGGTAGTCTAGGTTGCCGGGATGAAATAGCAGTAATCTCTGCATTTGAATTTCCTTTGAATATTTTATTGAAGCTAGCAGTTGAATTCTTGCTTTGACTTGGCATCTTTATTGGTTGAGGTGGTGCTTTGGTGAGGCAGTGTTTGCCTCCTTTTAATATCGATGTCGTAATTGTTCCTCCTGAGGCTTTCGTTTTGAGCCCAACTTCTTGCACTGTAGCTTTATTGATTCAGTTATAGCTTTTCAGCGTTAATTGAACAAAATGACTTTAGCCAAGGTCTTTCATGTGGATTCTGCCTTTTGCTTTTAACCCAATTTTCTTAATGAGGTTTTCAAATTTGAGGCGTCATGGTGACTTGATCAAGGTCGTACCAATCTGCCCCTTATTTTTCAAGGCTGATTTCATTTATCACAGCTTTTCACATGTTGTTTATTTTGACAACATTTAGGATTCGAAAGCGTCCTTCCGTTTTCTTATGCCTCGGCTAGAAGCCACAGTCCTACAATGTGCTTTTTATTTTTAACCCGTTTTCTATCCAGGTTCTTGCACGTTGCTAGACGTAGGTTTCCAATACCTTGGCTTTATAATATTTGACGCAGGTGTCATTTTTTGACTTCGTCTTGTTTCATCGTTTTGACTTGTGAGCCGTTTCAGATTGAGGTGTGATCCTTTTTCTAGGATCTCATCTCTCCAAACCCGTCTTCATTTCGTCACGGGTTGGGGCGTGATCCTTTTTCTAGGATCCCATCTCTCCAAACCCGTCTTCATTTCGTCGCGGGTTGGGGCGTGATCCTTTTTCTAGGATCACATCTCTCCAAACCCGTCTTCTTTTCGTCGCGGGTTGGGGCGTGATCCTTTTTCCCAGGATCCCATCTCTCCAAACCCGTCTTTATTTCGTCATGGGTTGGGGCGTGATCCTTTTTCTAGGATCGCATCTCTCCAAACCCGTCTTCATTTTGTCGAAGATTGGGGCGTGATCCTTTTTCTAGGATCACATCTCTCCAAACTTGTCTTCATTTCGCCACGGGTTGGGGCGTGATCCTTTTTCTAGGATCCCATCTCTCCAAACCCGTCTTCTTTTCGTCGCGGGTTGGGGCGTGATCCTTTTTCCCAGGATCCCATATCTCCAAACCCGTCTTCATTTCGTCACGGGTTGGGGCGTGATCCTTTTTCTAGGATCTCATCTCTCCAAACCCGTCTTCATTTCGTCGCGGGTTGGGGCGTGATCCTTTTTCTATGATCTCATCTCTCCAAACCCGTCTTCATTTCGTCGCGGGTTGGGGCGTGATCCTTTTTCTATGATCCCATCTCTCCAAACCCGTCTTCATTTCGTCGCGGGTTGGGGCGTGATCCTTTTTCTATGATCCCATCTCTCCAAACCCGTCTTCATTTCGTCGCGGGTTGGGGCGTGATCCTTTTTCTAGGATCCCATCTCTCCAAACCCATCTCCATTTCGTCGTGGGTTGGAGCGTGATCCTTTTTCCCAGGATCCCATCTCTCCAAACCCGTCTTCATTCTTTACAACTCGAATGAATTCTTATTTTCGCAACTCGTGCATTTTACGAGTTCCGGTATATTGACCTGGCAGAGGTCAAAGCATTATACGGATTTCGCTTTTTGCCACTCTCTGTGACGCATGTTTGTTTTAACTTAACGTTTTGTTAAGTCAGCATTGATGAAGGTGATTATTGTCGCCTTCAATCATGACCTGGATTTTGTAACCTGGTACTATCCAAGGTAAAGGCAGTATTGTCACATGTCCCACCTGGGTCTTGCGACCTTAGTGCGAAGCATTTCGACTTGATCAGAGTCAGCGTGACAAATTGCGCTTATATCTCAGATTTATGTTGATGCATCAGAATCACAAGGATCCATATTTAGTGTCGCTTCAATCTGCCTCCTTGAATTTTAGTTCAGTTTGGATTACGGAAGCGTCCTCCTGATTTCCTTGAACCAGGCTTGATGTCACATGTATGCATTATTCTTATGTTCGAACTCGGATTGGATTCGTCTTCCAGTTTATATCCTGGATTTATATTTATCCCGGATTGGATCTCGCCATATCTGTCTTCATTTACTTCCGATTTGCATATCGGATCTTCATTTCTATCTCGGATTGGATCTCGCCATATGTGTCTTCATTTACTTCCGA